ATAATAAATAAATAACATAAGATAAAAACTTCAATTAAATCTTTTAAACACATAAAAACATGTAATCTTCCATATTGCAAAAAACACCGATACATATTTCAAAATCGAATATGAAAACGTTGCGAAATTATTAAGCAAACATAATCTAAGCACACAACTCGTTCAGATACTGACGTCGCTGTTGTTTAATTCTCGAAGAAAGCTTTTGGCTCTTTCCATACCACTTCAAAAAGATACCGCGGGCCAAGAATACCTCATGATAACCCTGACAATTGAAAGCGATCTTATCAAGAAAAAGAAAGGCGCCGTTTTTCCATCAAAGATTCCACCATGGATTCCCCTCCACTCTTTCTTTATTTTTATCTGTTAATTAAAAGCGCTCGAGCCATTTTCTGAAATTTATGGCGCGCTTAATCAGTAATTTTTCAAAACTGAAAAATGAAAACAAATTTTAAATTAAACTTAAAAAACTACAGAATTCCAAACACGCGAAAGAAATTTAATAAAAAAGTATATGAAAGATATTTAAGAAATGAATAATAAAAGAAAAACTATAGAATTTCCAAACGATTTTATAAAAAAAAAAAAAAAAACACTGAATGATATTTTAAAAAATAAAAAATAAAAACTATAGAATTTTCAAACGATATTATTAAAAAAAGCACGTGATAGATATTTAAAAAATAATAAAGGAAAAACTATAGAATTCCCAAACGATTTAATAAAAAAACACGCGGAAGAAGGTTTAATAAAAAAAACACAAGTGACAGGTATTTATAAAAAATAAATGGAAAACTATAGAATTTCCAAACGATTTTATTAAAAAAATACTTCAAAGATATTTATAAAATTATAATAATAATAAATAAAAAAGTATAGAATTTCCAAACGATTTTATAAAAAAAATCCCGTGAAAGATATTTTAAAAAATAACAAATGAAAAACTATAGAATTTCTAAACGATTTTATAAAAAAACACGCGGAAGAAGTTTAATAAATAAAAAAAAAACACGTGACAAGTATTTTAAAAAAAATAAATTAAAAATTAGAATTTTCAAACGATTTTATAAAAAAAAACGCGAAAGAAATTTAATAAAAAAGCATATGAAATAAAATAAATAATAAATATTAAATGAATGAATGAAATGAATAAAAAATAATAATGAATAAAATAAGAAATGAAAAAAAAAATAATGAATAATAAAAGATTCATTATTAAATAAAAATATTCGTTATTAAATTAATAAAAGTTAGAATTTTCAAACGATTTTATAAAAAAAAAAAAAAAACACTTGAAAGATATTTAAAAAAATAATAAATGAAAATCTATATAATTTCCAAGCGATTTTATAAAAAAATACGTGAAAAATATTTAAAAAATAATTTTTTAGAGATCTTATCAAGAAAAAGCAGGGCGATGTTTTTCCACCGATGATTCGACCATGAATTCCCCTCCACTCTTTTATTTTTATCTGCTAATTAAAAGAATCGGGCCATTTTCTGAAATTTATGGCACGCTCTTTGCTAAACCCATTCGTTTTATTAGACAGACGTTCGGATGTATTTCTCAGGAAATGTTCCATTTCATAAAATAAAAAAGAAGAAAGTTATATTTAGATTTCGAAAATAACTCGGGCACAGGTAAAGGGGAAAAAGTGGGACTTAATTTATGACTTGTTTATGCAGTGTGATGATAAGACAGATTTTTAATCAAGAGGAACTTCTACAGGATGTGGTTCTTTTGGAATGAGTGCTTTTAAAAATTTTGGCAGCGAAATAGCAAGGATTGCAATAAATAAATAAATAAAATTGGATATGTTAAATGAGTAATTAAAAATATATATAATTTTCTCGGTTTATATACAGGTTATCCATAAAATTTAGAATTTAATGTAAAAACAAAACGCATAGCAGCAATTCTTAAAAAAAACATGCGGAATACCAAACTATTTTCTTTTCCTGAAAATCACATTTTCTCTTTGAAATAAAAATTACCTGAAGACCTTTTAAAACAATTTTGCGTTAATTTTTCTTCTGAATTAATTTTTTTACTAAATTATTTAATAATTACTCGTTATAATTAATAATTAATAAATTAGCAATTACTATATTATTTTGTAAAATATTATGTATAAAAAAGCTCGAGAAAGAAAGATTTTATAAATTTATAGATTTTTGTGAAAATGTCCAAAATTGCAAGTAGTTTACGGACACGAAAAATAACCCATAAAAATTTGAATTTAATGTAAAAACAAAACGCAAAACAGCGTTCTTAAATCATAAAAACCAAACGATAATCTTTTCTTGAAAAATCTCATTTTCACTTCAAATAAAATTAACTTCACTTTCACCAGACGATCTTTTAAAACAATTTTACATTAAATATTTTTCTCGATTAGTTTTTTAACAAAATTATTTAATAATTACTTATTATAATTAATTATTAATTAATTAATAATTATTATATTATTTTGTAAAATAACATGCATAAAAAAGCTCGAGAAAGAAATTTAAAAAAAATTACTGATTTTAGTGAAAATGTCCAAAATTGAAAGTGGTTCAAGAACACGAAAAATAACCCATAAAAATTAGAATTTAATGAAAAAACAAAATACATAATTGCAATCTTAAAAAAAAAAAAGAAGTATAGAATGACAAACGATTTTCTTTTCTTGAAAAATCTCATTTTTAATTTGAAATGAAATGATCTTTGCTTTCATCAGACGATTTTTTAGAACAATTTTTAGATTAATTTTTCTTATGAATTATTGTTTTACTAAATTATTTAATAATTACACTTTATAATTAATTATTAATTAATAATTATTATATTAATTTTTAAAATATTACGTATATAAAAAAGCTCGCATAAGAAATGTTAAAAAATTACAGATTTCAGTGGAAATGTGCAAAATGAAAAGTGGATCAAGGACACGAAAAACCGTGCCCAAAACAATACCCCTATATTTCATGGGTAAAAAACTAATGATAATTCAGCTTCCTTTTGGGAGGAACGAATATAAAAAACATATTAAACGAACCTATTTAATTTAATTCTCAAGTGAGAGATTAATTAAAACAAATATTAACACGTGAAATAAATATCTTCGATTTGTGCATTTAATAAGAATCTAATTAAGGAAACTAAAATGAAATAGAAATGATATGTTTTCTCAGAAACGATGAGTTTTCTGATACAGGAAATATTTTATAGTAATTGCAATCCAATGGCACATTGCACTTTTTACATGTAACTACAATTTGGCTGTCACACACAATATCTGCATTCCCTTTTTTTTTAATTTTATTTTAATTTCATTTTTTTTAATTTTATCTCCTAATTATAGATTTACTAAGATCATTTTTGCTTTCGACAAATGCTATTTTTTGAAAAAAAAGATGGACACAATACGAAAAATGGAAATTGATCTTCAGTGTAAACATATTTGGTTTATATTAATGGTACAGAAATGTTTCTCAAAAAAACTCCAGCGAAGAAAATTTTCAGTCACAAGAAATTTTACATAATTTCATAGAAATAATTTTAGCAATGTCGATGAAGTTAATCAAAATTGTCCATTTTTGCCTTTTATTTCTACTCTGTACAATATAATCAAATGGTCAAATAGGTCTACATTACTCATATTCTGCTTGTAATACTTGTTGCCATTTATGGTTTGGTTCAGTTTGTCGCTCTGCAGTCATCTTGTGCACACTTTAGGCTAAACAGACCTGGTCCTACATTTTAAAGTGGATTCCGAACCACTCACAAACACCCATGGCACCGCCGGGACTCGAACCCGAAACCTGTGGTACCGAGCGCCAGAGCGCTAGCCACTCGGTGCCATTTATGAGAATAACCCAAAAGTAAAAGTTTTTCGCACTCAGTTTGGATGCCATTTGTTATTCACAGCGAGCTTTCTCTAGATATTGCGCAACAGAATGGAGCTAAAATTTTGATTCCGAATAGAATGAATTTAATTTAATGCGGTGGCTTTCAAACTTTTAGAAGTTCTGGCGCATTTAAAAACCTTAATGTGCACTATATAATTCTGACAAATAAGCATTCGTTACTAACGCCTCATAGTTTTATATTCAAATGGTCAACTCCACAGGCTACTACTTACAGATGACGGAGTCTCAGAGGCTGCAAAGGAAATTTTTTTAGCATTAAAAATCACATACATGCTAGCGTTCCTAGTTACCAACTTGGCTTGATTGCCAATTGACTACTGCTCTGGTGTTTTGTACCACAGGTTTCAGGTTCGAATCCTGGCGGAGACAGGGATGTTTTTGAGTTGTTCTGAATCTATGCTAATCTAAATCCACATGACTTTTACCCTGTGCACTCGAGGGCTCCGGAGCGGAGCCATTTAAAATTTGTTTTCAAGCTCGAGGGCTCCGCTGCGGAGACAATATAAATAAAACGCTTCCTTTAATGCGTATGTCAAACTTACATGTGAATACGATCTTTTCACTAAAATCGCTTCGAGTTGCTGGTGATACGAATGGAAAAAAACTTCGAGTGCAAAGGGTTAATCTACGGTCATTCTGTAGGTCCCGGTCTAATTAGCCCAAAGTGTGCACAAAATGACCGTAGAGCGACAAACCAAACCTAGTAGCCAATCATAGAGGTTACAAATCCCATTTTCTCCGAAATTTTCTTTTAGCGCATTATCGCTGTTTGGCGACACTTTTTGTGAAGGAAAAAAAACCCGGAAAGATGAGTTGTTTGTAATGAAACTTGGCTTCGAATAGGAAAATTGACAAGAAAAGAAATAATTATATTTTTTTTTATATCCGAGCACAAACTATTTCTCTGGGCCTGGGAATCTTCTAGGGAGCATGAGTGAGCCCTGGTGCACCCTTCGAGACCACTGATTTAATGAATAGAACTTTAGAACTTTAATTTAATGGCAATTTAATTAAATGTGTTATAGTTTTTTTTTAGGATATCTTGCCCAACTAAGATTCATTATATATAACACACTTTTTATGCCAACGGCCGTACCATGCTGAATATACCGGTTCTCGTTAGATCACCGAAGTCAAGCATCATTGGGCGCGGTCAGTACTTGGGTGGGTGACCACCTGGGAACTCCGCGTGCCGTTGGCACATTTGGGACCTGAATGGCCGAGTGTCTAGCGCTCTGGCGCTCGGTGCCACAGGTTTCGGGTTCGAATCCCGGCGGTGCCATGGATGTTTGTAGTGGTTCGGAATCCACTTTAAGCCGTAGGTCCCGGTCTCCTATGACTGTAAGAGCGTCACGGAGCCAAAGTCAGGCTTCTACCTACGGGGTGCTCCATCACAACAGAAGCTGCTTCCTTCCCCTTCAATCATGAGCACGTATGGGCTCGTGGGCTTGGCCAGCCAAGTGGGATAAGAAACAACAACAACAACACACTTTTTATAATCATTTTTTTTTTCTTATCCCTTTTTGTAGACATATGTAGACCAAGTCCAAGAACCAGGGTGGTCTCATGGAAGGAAGTAAAAGGGGAGGGCAACGTCTGTTGTGCCGGTGCACACACAGATAGAAGATAGACCGTAGAAGATAGATCAAACCCCAAGAGAAGTCTATTCATAGATAGAGGGATTTGGTTTGGTTTGTCTCTCTACTGTCATTTTGTGCACACTTTAGGCTAAGCAGATTGGGACCCACGGCTTAAAGTGGATTTCGAACCGCTACAAACATCCATGGCACCGCTGGCACTCGAACAAAACATGGATAGAAGGAAGGGACGCAACTATTGTTGTGTTAGAGCACCCGCAGGTAGAAATCTGACTTGACTCCGAGTCGCTGAAGAAGGAAGGCAGTGCCTTTCCGGGAAGAGTTTTAGCGGGGGGGGGGACAACCTCGCATTTGCGTATCGCATAGGAGAAAACCCGGAAAATTCCCCCCAGGTAGACCGACTCACGAGGAAGATGCTAAACATTTGAACGCTGATTCCGATTGGTTTCTTTTAATTAACTACATTATTATTATTATTATTTTTTTTTTAGGGGACCTGAATGGCCGAGTGGCTAGCACTCTGGCGATCGGTACCACAGGTTTCGGGTTCGAGTCCCAGCGGTGCCATGTATTTTTGTAGTATTTCGGAATCCACTTTAAAACCGTAGGTCCCGGTCCTAATAGGATCGTAGAGCGTTGTGGGAGCATTGTTACCCCGCGTCCGTGGCTTATCTTCAAGTGACACGCGCCCCCGGGATAATGCAAAATGAGTAACGTCGGTGTAGCGCTTGCTTGCCTTAAGGCATCCAAGACGTCCATGTCTAAGTGTTTGCCAGCTGCATTAGAAAAAAAAAGCTTTTTTTTTAGTTTTAGTTCAGCTTATTGTTTCTATTCTTTCATGACTGTAACTTTTAATTCTTTTTTCAAAATTTAAAATGTGCGATTTCTTTTTCTAATTACCTTGTTTTTAAATTGTAATTTCTGTTTTATCTGTTGCCGTTGTAATATCCCTCATGGAAGGAGGTGAAGATGGGGGACAGCTTCTATTTTTGATTGGGCAGACGTAAGTAGAAATCTGACTTCTGCTCCGTTTCACCGAAGAAGGAGGGCAGTGTCTTCTGGGAGGACTTTTAGGGGGCAACTATCCCGCATATTGCGCATCATATGGAAGAAAACCCTGAAATATCCCAGCAGGTGGTCCGACTCACGAGGCAAGATGCCGAACATCAAAAACGCCATCGAGTCTCCTCGTTTTTTAAAACAGTGTCTACAACAAAGCCGCCAAGGGATTGAACCTCCCCCTCATGCTCACTAACGGTACACGTTGCCACTGAGCCACGAGTTAGGCTCAGCGGTTGTGTGTTTTATCTTGTTTACATATTATGAAAGGCTTCTGAAACAATTTTTTCAATCAAATAAAAGCAAAGTTTCTGCAATTCTGCAAAGTTTACATTGGTGCTTGGATTTTCTACATTCTGTAATATATGCATATTTTAGCATAAACTCTGGTTTCATTCAACATATTTATGTTATTTATTTACGTTAACATATTTTAAATCAATCATCAATCTGATTGTATTGTTTCGATCCTGCTTGTGGATTTTTGATATCTACCGATGGGTTGCTTTATGTTTTTCATCTTTAATTAAATTCGTCAAGAAACATGTACTAGCAAGCAGCATGGATACGTCCAAGTCCGCCATCTTTGTTTACTGAGCGTCATCGAATGGCAGCTTGTTACGTCACGCTTAGAGAGAGATAACGTGACTTACGATAGAGATAACGTGGTCACAGTGAGACGCTCACGCGATCCTGTCTGACGTGCTTTTAAACATGCTTCAAACTACGTCTTTAGTAGAAATACGAACAGGACTCAGGTACATGTACATATCATGAAGGAAAAGTGATCTGCATTCAGAATTTATATCCAAGTTTACTTACCATAGTAGGATTTTTTTAATTTATAATTGACTATTCATTCAAAAGCACCATGTAGCCAGTTATGAGTAAAAGAAAATTAATATGATAATATAAAGTCTGAATTAATTATTCATTATTAAAATATGAACGTAGTGGTATGAAATCAAGCCAACAGAAAGTGAAACGTGAGAGTTAATTATGCATTCAAGTATGGAAATCAGCTCATTTTTTTAGAAGAAGGAATAATTTCAATTCTTTTCCAGAGTTTCTTTTTAGATGTAGAATTTAAAGCACACAAAAAAGGCCTTCTTATTTTATGAGATGATAAAGTAGAAAAAAACAAATATTATGTAAAAATCTAATTTAAAAAAGAACTATTTAATATTTTGAATATTTGCTGGTCAATTAATACAAATAGATTTTAAATTTCAAAAATATTTTATTTTCGAATTAAGTACTTTTTTTAAAAAATTCCATCAAAAATTTAAGTTTTCAAATAATAATAATATATTTTATTTAATAAAAAATTTCTTTCATTTTTATATGCCCAGACTGTTACTTTTATATATTTAAGTTATAGAATAATATTTAGAATAACATTATTATATTTATATTAAACAATTATAAAATAATATTTTCATATAGGGGCCTGACGGTTTCAGGTTCACCACAGGTTTCGGGTTCGAGTCTCGGCGGTGCCATGGATGTTTGTAGTGGTACGGAATCCACTTTAAACCGTATATTCCGGTCTAATAGGATCGTAGAGCGTTGCGGGGGTAGTGTTACTCCGCGTCCGTAACATATCTTCAAGCTACACGCACCTCCCGGATAGTGCTAAATGAGTAATGTCAGCGCGGCGATTGCCTTAAGGCATCCAAGACAACTATCTAAGTGTTTGCCAGCTGCATTAGAATAAAATATATTCCCATATCCCATACAATGTTTCCATATAAAACATTATTTATACAGAATTACAACGTTATATTCTCTTCTGTAATTCAAAAACCTATATATGTATTATGAAGAAAGTTTACAAAAATATTTGAACTGATAAATTTTATGAAAGGCTTTTTGTTATGTAGATACAGCAACAAAAATTTTATTTGAATTTTATTTATACGTCATTGTATAAGAGTTCTCAGTTTTAAAACTTTAAAATTGTCACTTAAATGTATTTTTTCTAAAATTTTGTTCCGAAATTTAGATTTTCTGGAGTCACCATCGTTCAGAGAGATTTTAGTGTGAGAAAAAAAGGTTTACGCAACTTGTTGTCTAATAGTAATGTGCACAGCTAACATGCGCAGATGGGAATCCACTGGAGGCATGCGTTACAGTCTCTATTCTCAGAATCGAAGAGACACGGTGGCGATTGTGACAAGTGTGTAAATTGACTCAAATACACTCAAGAGCCAAAACATTATGACCACCTGTCAATAACGAGTTGGCCCACCTTTGCGCGCAACACAGCTTCAACCCGCCTTGGCATGGATTAATACCACCACTTAATACTAGTTAAATACCATTTCAACCTGATCACGTACCTTCCACATCATCCAGGCGAGTTCATTGCAAAATGTAGGGGGTGGTCATAATGTTTTGGCTCTTGAGTATAGATAATAAAGTACCCGGCGTGAGTGTTTGTGAATTTATTCCCTACGATACGTAAATGAGGGACATTTACCTCTAAAAGTTCTCTCAGGTTTGGTTTGTCGCTCTACGATCATCTTGCGCACTCGAGGACTAAACAGACTGGGACCTACCTACAGTTTAAAATGGATTCCGAACCTTTAACAAACATCCATGTCGTCACAAGGATTCGAACCTGAAGCCTCCGATACCAAGAGCTACAGCGCCAGTTACTGGACCACCTGGCCTCAACGTTATTTCAGGGATCAATGTCTGCTCTATATCACTCGTCGATGAGCTGTTCTTGACATACTTAAGTACGTCCACTTATGTATGATGGTCACTGACGTTGAACAAAAAAATCTCCTGAACTATAGTTCAACACTGAAATCAAAACATTTACATTTTTTGAACATTACTTTAAATAATGGAAAATAGCAAGTATAATCATCAATTGATATTATCCGGATAAAAGATAAGCATAAATAAAATGCGAATATATTAATTTAGTAGCGATTTTTTATAATATATTTTTATGTTATTGTATCTTTTGATTGTAACAAATAAATCGGTAAATAAATCATTCATTTTTATACTATATTATTTTCACCAATCACACATTTAGAAACTAGGAACAGTTGTTGTGTCTGATCTTTAGTGTCCTGCAGCGGGGGACAGGCAAAACATGAGGTGCTCCATGACAACAGAAGCTGCACCCTTAATCTCTATTCCGTGGATGAGGAAAAAGGGGGAAAGGGGGCAACTTCTGTTGTGATGGAGCACCTGCATGTAGAAGTCTGACTTGATTCTGTGTCACGGAAGGAGGGCAGTATCTTATGGGATAAATTTTAGGAGAATTATCCCGTATTTGCATATCATATGGGAGATAACCCGAATAACTCCCACCAAGTAATCCGACTCACGAGGCAGGTTTTTGAACGTCACAAACGCTATCTACCCTTCTCATTTTATTAAACAGTGTCGACAACAATGCAGAGAGTGGATGGAACTTCCGCCCTAATGCTCAGCAGCGACGCACTTTGCCACGAGTCAGTCAGAAACTCGGAACTAAACGGCTATTGTGCCAAATGCTATACAGAGTGTATGTAAGTC